TTCATCGCTGGTTTCTTCATGCAAATTAACCACCTCATGTGAAGACATGGTAGGATCGTAAGAAGGATTTACAAAAAAGCAAAGTATGTCAAAAATTTCACTCACCGACTGGTACAAGCACAAGCTCGTGAACTCTTCAAACAAAGAATTTGGAGGACCAAAACGATAACACTATAGGAGACGAGAAAAAGAAAGAAAGGTGGATGATTTGAAGAATCCAAGAGAAAGTTCCATTACACTTATTAGGTTCCAGGAATTTTTTCAGTACTGGAGGTAGCTAAAACCCTTTCTCTACTACGCTTTATAAAGATACAAATTGAAATTGGAATCAGGAATACGTAATAGATACAAATTGAAATTGGAATCAGGAATACGTAATAGATACAAATTGAAATTGGGTCTCATGATGCTCCAAGAATTCTAATTGTTTTAGAATTAAATGCCTTGCCCAGGAATTCTATTTATGTTAGAATACACTAGACACATATCAGGAGTATTTCTGTTTATTGTTAAAATTATTAGTTAATTTATTTATTTTTCACTTAACAAATCCTACACATTACTCTAGAGTGGAACCAAATCTATAGGGCTTAGTTAAAACACTTACAACAGGGGTGTGATTGATTGGAGTATATCAAATACTTTGATGTAATATATATATATATATATATAAGAGGGAAAAGGAAGTTGGGGCCAAAGCAGGTTCTCAACCACTAAAATGGGCGAGCCATTGGGCGAGTAATGACTTGCCTAAACATCTAGCGCGCAGAGAATAGAGCATCAGTTAATCCCTAGCAATAACAAAACTATATTTTCTTTGTTTGTTAAGGCAAGAATAAAAGCTTTAGTGCTTTTTCTTTGCTGTCACCAGTAATTTGATGGAAGAAATTAGAACACCTTACTTTAGATGATAAGGTCATTACTTGCTTTTAAATCCTTCTACATAAACGTTATCACTTATCAAAGTGGGCGAACAAAGGTGTGTTTAGTTAAAAGTACCATTAATTACTTGCTAACATGCACACCTTGTTCAAAAGTTATCTCAACTATGGGAAATTTGTGTATGTATGAATATTATAAAGTTCAGATGAAGATTTACATATATATATATATATATATATGAAAATAGTGAGAATTTATATGACGATCCTAACTCTCGACAAGCAAGAATTCAGGAATGGGGGGGCAACTGATGAAGAAATCAACAAAAGAGGCAGAACAAACAGATAAGATAATGAGGTGATAAGGTGAAAAAATTCAAAAAGTTGTTTTGATCTGATTATATGAAATTCAAATTATCGACAAAACCTTTCCTTAAAGATTACAACAAACAGTCAGCTGAGCTAGCTATAAAAATAGACTCCTATCAATCAATAAGGTATGGGCAATATTGAACTCCATTTCATTCCTAATTTATTTTCTTCTCTAAACTGACTTAGCCATCGGAGGTTGTTTGGCAGGCACCACACTGGTATCAAGAGGAAACGTTGTCATTTCAGATCGTTGCAGACTAATATTCATTAGTGAGGGTTCGAGTCTCTAAATAAGTAAAGTGAATGTGTGAGTGATGTGTATAAATTTCTTACCAATGACTAAAAATAAATAAATAAAATTGAAAATTACCAATCTGATTATTTTTCTCGGCTGGTAGTAGGGGTGCACACGGTTCAGTTTGAACCGGTTTGAGAGTTTTTGGAACTAAACCAATTTTAACGTTTCAGAAAATCTATAATCAAACTAAATCATTTTACCAAAGGAACCGAATCAAACCAAACCGTGAAACACCGATTCAGTTCGGTTCGCTTCCACGTTTTTTTTTTTTTTTTTGCTATAGAAATATTCATATTTCAAAATTCAAATGCACAATAATTAACCAAGTTAACCAACACATTTAGAACTGCTAATACATTCACATCTATAATATAAAGTTAGGCGAATTGCAAAAAAAAACCCTCGACTTTCACCTGTTTGCGAAAAAACCCCTTTATGAATATCTTTAGCAATTAACCTCCCTCAACATCATAAGGGGGTCATTTTAACTAACCTCTGGTAGAATGATTGTGTGAGGAAATTTTTTAGACAAAATTAGCCTTAACGTGAAACATCCGTTCGAGTGATTGTGTGAGAAACTTTTCAGACGAAATTATTCTTAAAATCAAAACAATACATTATTTACTAAAGTACCCACCACTCACACTTTTTTTTTTTTTTTTTTTTTTTTTTGTTGTTAACGGCATAAAACACTAAAATGAGGCCTCTGATTTTAAAACAAAGCCTTTGATTTTTTCTTCGGAAATGTTTCTTGCATTTGGAATCTATATAGTAATATAGTAGTTATTTATCAAATGTCAACTTAAATTGATCTTGGTGAAAAAAAAAAAAAAAACCTTATTTATTGAATCCTACTTACAAAACATTCAGATACATCCTCAAATTTTTTCTTCTTCAATACATCCATAATTGACAAACATTTGTCCCCTAAAAAATTTACTTCCACTGTTATTAACCATAACTGACAATAAGACATATGTCCAAGCATCCATTAACATAAATGAATCCAATAACTAAAAAAAATACACATAAAAATTATATATGACTGACAAACATGTGTCCAAAAAATGTCTATCATCAAAGTGATAATCAAAGTGATAATTGTTGGTCACCTGCAAAAGGCAAAAAAAAGACCTAAATGAAGTTTTTCAACTATCTTTCTTTCATTTTGGAAGATTATTGTCATTTGAGTCTTTAATTAAAGTTTTTAACTATCCGTTTGAGTGCTAGAAAAAATAATAATAAAAAAGAGTAAGTGGTGGGTATGTTAGTAATAATGTATTGTTTTGATTTGAAGGGTAATTTTGTCAAAAAAAATTCTCACACAATCACTCAAATGGAAGGGTAATTTTGTCCAAAAATTTTCCTCACACGATCACTTAAACGGATGTTAGTTAAAATGCCCCCTCATGATAGTTAAGAGGAGTTAATAGCTAAAAATATTCATAAGGGGGTTTTGCAAACGGGTGAAAGTCGAGGGATTTTTTTTGCTATTCACCCTATAAAGTTAATACATTCAAATTTGTTAATATATTTGGTACTTATAATTCTTTCTTTTCTGTCACTTATGGAATTACTATTGATAGCCTAATACGTTTAGAACTAGTAATTCAACAATAAGTACCACAATTCAATAAACTAACAACGTTCAGGCATTATCGATTATATTATATTATATGTATAATTTAATATATATATATATATATATATATATATATATATAGATAAAACTTAATGGTTCAATTTGGTTCAATTCAGACTTATGACCACACTATATTTTTACGATTCTACAAATTTAGAACCGTTATTAAACCAGACTGTCGATCCGATTTGAAATTTTAATTTTACTGAATTTTTGTGCAACCGTAGTTGGTAGTGTTAACCGGACCAGGATCACCTCTAGTTGCACAGTGGTCCATTTGCTTCATTTTGGGTCAATGAACAGTGTTTACCATGTTTGATTAGAAAATATATTTTCCTAGTACAGAATTTTTGTGTGTATAATATGTGTGTGTGTGTGTGTGTGTGTATACTGTTCACCTATACACCCTTTTGTTCCCTCCCTTATTTCTTCTTCCTCTTCCCTCCCTCATTTCAGCAATCCATTTGAAATAGAAATAAAATCCCGCTAGTAGCCTTCTTCTCCCCCAAAATATGAATGAAGCCATTTTAGAAATTTATTTCTTTCCAAATAAAAGTCGAAAGTAGGGATTGTTATGTGAATCAACCCAAAATTTGGATGCTACAAATTGTTTGGAAATAGAAGCAGCGCTGCTGTCAATCCCAATAAAATTGCAAATTCTGATTTCCTTCCGAAATGAAGCAGCAGTGTATTTCCAAAGCTAAGCAGGAGTGTATTTCCAAATCGAAGCAGGAGATCGCCTTATTTCCAACCCTAAGCAGGTACGATTCATAATTTTGAGATTTGATTTTGAAGGAAATCGTCTTATTTCCATAAGAACTAAATGGCAGAAACAAATATAATTAGTAAGAATATATAGGCACATTTTTTTGTAAGAACCCAGAAATAGAAAATTATTGGTAAATTTGAATTGATCATTTTTTTATTGTGCAGTTATTAGGGGTTTTATTGTTTGTTTATGAAGATAAAAAATGAGAGGATTTGTAGGGAACATGAATGACCGGAAAAAAGTGTTTCAGAGTGTTGCAATGTTAAGAAAATATTTGGTCGCTGGGCTTGCATCACAACGTTTTCCTAAGTTGTATCCCAACTTTCTCCTAATAAGTATCCCAAATTCTTCCTCATCTACATTCTAATATTTTTATAAAGTGAGTCACAACATTTTCCTAAGGTATATCCTAACATTTTCATAATATAAATCTCAAAGTATTTGTAAAGTGTATCCCAATATTTTCCTAATGTGCATCCCAAAGTTTTCGTAATATACATCCTAACTTTTTCAAAAGGTGCATCCCAAACTTTCCCTAAGGTAAGTCCCAACTATTTCGTAAGATGAATCCCAACTGTTTGCTAACGTAAATCCCAAATTTTGTGTAATATTAATCCCAACATTTTCATAAAATATATGTGAAATTAGCATTAGTTGGTTGAACATATATGTATTGTTGTGGCATAGAGGATTTGTATCCTCGTTGGTCTGGGATATACTTGATTGATACATGCAAAGAAATGAATGAGATATATGTTAAATTTAATTGGTCATAAATGTGAAAAGGTTTTTTATTTGATTGGTTATACATGTGAAAAGTTTTTGTATTTAAACCGTTGAGATGGAACATACTTGGGATGTAGATGTAGAAGTAAAAATTTTTTTTGTTAATTCAATATTTTGTGCATATGTGAGAAAATGTTTTGTATTTGAGCCATTTAGATGGAAGGTAAAGTAAATAATATTTAAGACATAACAAACGGACGAAACGTTCCTGTTGTAGAACCGGAAGTGATTAAATGGAAACCAATGTATAAAATGGAGTTTGATAGTAAGGAAGAGGCATATGATTTTTACAATGCATATAGTGGTCAAATTGGTTTTAGCATCCGGAAGCAGTATGGTAATAAAGTTAATGGAAGAATTACATCATGGGCGTTAGTTTGTAGCAAGGAAGGTGTGAATGGGACTGACAAACGAGATGTATTTAGAAAGACTCTCCGGGCTGAAACACAAACCAATTGCAGTGCACAAATGGTTCTTAGATATGACAAGGTAAAAGCAAAGTACGTAGTTTCTAAATTTGTAGAAAGTCACAACCATCCATTCATAATTGTTGAATGCAGCCCCATGATGCCGTCCCAGCGACGAATTTCCTTAGTCCATGCCATTGATATTGAGTTGGCTTCGGATTCAGGAGTTCCGGCTTGTAATGCATATGAGTTGATGGGAAGGCAATCTGGTGGCAAAGAATTAGTTGGGTACTTGAAAGTGGAAAATTATCTAAGGATGCAAAGACAAAATGAGCTTCTTTATGGAGATTCGGCATGGCTTGTGGATTATTTTGAGACGCGTGCTTGTGAAGATCATTCCCTCTTCTATTCGTTGCAACTGGATACTGAGCAAATGATTGTGAACATATTCTAGTCAGATTATAAAATAATCATTGATTATGGCCATTTTGGAGATGTTATCAGTTTCAACACAACGTACAAAGTGGTACACGGCAACAGACCATTTGCACTTTTCTTGGGTATAAATCATCACCAGGAGACCACTGTGTTTGGAGCAACCTTAATGTATGATGACACAGCGGATTCCTTTGTCTGTTTATTTGAAACATTCTTGAAAGCGATGGGCGGAAAAGCGCCAAAGACGATTATTATAGATAAAGACGCTACAATGGTGAAGGCATTAAAGCAAGTGAATAACTTTCATGCATCTCCATTCTTGTCACTTGGTATGCTGAAACAATCGTATTATTTCAGTGGTATTTTTTGTATTTACAATATTGCAACGCGGGTATTAAGTTAATTAATCTTGTAGGTTATGGTGGTGATGAAGCATCATTTATGTGTTTGACACTTAATGAATAATGCGCAGAATAACCTATTATTTATGTTTAAACGCGTTAAAGGAATAAAGAAGGTCATCTCAAAATTAATGTTCCAAATTAAGGAGGAGGGTGATTTTATCAGGGAATGGGATTTAATGATTGTAGAGTATGGTGTTGCTTGTAATAAGTGGCTTTCCACTTTGTTAGATTGGAGACATAAATGGGCCCCGGCATTTGTCAAACATGACTCGTCTATAGGATTTCCTTCTTTCCAACAGGTATAATTTTCCTTTTCCCTTTGTTACGAGCTATAGTCTTCAACCTACCCATTTCAAACCCTAAATTTGATTTCCACCAACAAATTTAATGAACCAAACAAAGTCACAGCAATTAAACTCAGACAACCTTAATTTCAGACCAACCACGAAAACCCTCACACCCAAGCCTCAGACGAAGCAGCACAGACCTTCCCTTCTTCTTCGTTTTCCCTTATTCCCTTCTTCTTTAAGCGACGTAGCCATTTTTCTTTATGCAATGAAGTGAAAATCAGAAAAATAACAGTTGAAGAAGTCAACTATAATTAAAAACAAATATTAATATTTTTTATACATTACTAAAACACATTCACTTATGTATTTTTCTTAGATATGACAGGCAAAGATTATTAATGTACATTGCATGCTACATAGCAACAACATATTAACTACCAAATATATAACACAACGCATCAGTATTTTGTAATTAAACTGCTGAAACATGTCTAACAAAAGCATTTGTTTCAATCTAAAAATAAAAAAATAAAAATATAGCTATTACACAATTTGTCAAAGCATGAAGTTTCATCAAACTACATATATACAAATGACAAGATTTTAGACAAGTGTTATGTATTTGGAGGCTGGTTCACTAATATAAAGAGAATTATTGTGAGACATATTAGCCAAAAATAAATAGTGGATTAATTAACAACGCTATATTTTCTTACTCCCTAAAACAAGCCACTTCAAAACTAATACTCCTACTACATAGCAAAATATACGGAGTATGCGATATAAACATAGTTTTTTTTCTCTAAGAAGGCATATTACGTAGGTAATATCACCAAATTAAGGCATACTAACTCTTCTGGGCAATTTGTCAAGCAGAAAATATGCAAAAAGGTAAATGTGTGTGCAACATAAGTTAAGTAGAAAGAAATTATATAACCATAAACCAAATTTATACACAGTAACTTTATAATCATATACATGTGACAAATTTTAAATATATATAAGATAATCACTAAGGAAGAACAAAGCAAAATATGCTCAAAACTCAACTGCAGCGAAGATAAGCAATTTAATCACTAAAAAATTACGAAATCAAATACATTTACGATGTCGTATGTATGTTAATGCGCACATGTGAATGCAAACATTATGCACCTCATCTACTATGCTTAAAACATTAGGCAACATTATTAAACTAAAAATGACTAATTCACACTCACCAAACTACAGAACTTCAGACTTTTGGAACAGCCGCTTACTATTGTTGAAAGTAGGACTCCAAATCAAGAATAAATAACATCTGCGCTTTGTGGGTTTTTAGGGCGATCGGTTATGGGGTTCTCTTTAATCACTGAAAAGGAAAGAGGTAGAAAGGGTAAGAGAGAGGTTTTGGTTTTTTTTTAATCAAATAAAGAGCGAGAGAGGTTTTGGTTTTTTTTTAATCAAATAAAGAGCAAGAGAGGTTAGGTTTTTCTTCAATGTAGTGATGGTTCTCTGGTTCTCTTCGCAGACCCAAGCCTCAGACGCAAAAGAGAGGCTAGGGTTTTGGGATACACTTTACAAATACTTTGGAATTTATATTACGAACATGTTAGGATGTACATAAGGAAAATGTTGTGACTCACTTTAAAAAAAGTATTGGAATGTAGATAAGGAAGAATTTGGGATGCTTATTAGGAGAAAGTTGGGATGTAACTTTTGAAAACGTTGTGATGCAAGCCCAACGACTAAATATTTTCTTAACATTGTAACACTCTGAAACACTTTTTTTGGGCACTCATGTACTCTACAAATCCTCTCATTTTTTATCCTCGCAAACAAACACTCAAACCAAACCCCTAAAAACTGCACAATAAAAAGCCATCAATTCAAATTCACCAATAATTTTCTATTTCTGGGTTTCTTACAAAAAATGTATCTATATATTCGTACTAATTATATTTGTTTCTGCCATTCAGTTCTTATGGAAATAAGACGATTTCCTTCAAAATCAAATCTAAAAATTATAATTCATACCTACTTAGGTTTAACAACAAAATTTTGGGTTCATTCACAGAACAATAGTTGCTTCCGGCTTCTATTTGGAAAGAGAGGTTAGGGTTTTCTTCAACGTAGCGGTGGTTCTCTTCACAGACCCAAGCCTCAAACGCACAAGAGAGGTTACGATTTTCTTCAACTACAAAAAGGGCAACAGAGGTCTTTCTTCCTTCTTTCTTTTTCGCAAACCTTCTTCCGGCAACAGAGGAAATTCATCCTACGCAGACCTTCTTCTGGTAACAGAGGACCTTCTTCCTACGCAAACCTTCTTCTGATAACAGAGGATCTTCTTCCTTCTTCGTAGACCTTCTTCCTTTTTTCTCTTCTTTGCATTCCTTAAAAATTATGTAAAGTAAGGGCTAGGGCTAAATGGACAATTCCATACAATAAGTAAGGGTTAAATGGATAATATGTCATATAAATATAACCTATACCGTATTATTACACAAATATACCATATTGTTACACACATGTAATACAACTTCAACAGTGTGTAGTTACTTTTTTTGACCAACTTTTTAAAGTGACGTGGCCATTTCTCCTTCACTCATTCCAAAATGGAGGAAATTGCGCACTGTTGGAATAGAGATGATTTTTGGCCGGAGGCATACCCCTAAAATGTGTATAACTTCCCACGGCAAAAAATCACCTCCATTCCAACAGTGCGCACTAGGGTGGTATTCCCAGCTGGTTAGTGCCCGGAATAACCGTTTAACTTTTGGTTAAACTCCGGGATTTGATGTCCTAGCATTCCACTATTTGATTTTGTATTCAATTCCAAGTTGACAACCAATGTTTTTGTTTATTTGCGGTTTTAATGTTATAAGAACATTTATGCATTGTGATTTTCTTTGAATCATTGTGGTTCTAATGTTGTTAAGTACATTTATGCATTGTGATTTTATTAAATCATTAGATGATCCTTTAATACACCTTGAATATAGACGTTAAATGGAATGATTCCTTGTATTCGTTAATATTAATCTTATAATGATATTGAAACTTTAGGGTATACGCATATACTTCTTCATACGAGTAACTTGTTTACTCACCCTAATTGTTCGGATTTCTTTTCAGGCAAAGAGACTTTGTTTTTGGATGCTTATCATCCATAGATGTCTTTATAGCAATTTGGATTACTTTATGTACATTTATCATGCAAGTATTAACCTGTTTTAGTTTATCTCTTTTGATATAATGTTTAATTTACTTGGAAGCATGCTTTAGCTTCCCTTTTGGCTATGTAAAAGTACCTAAGTACTTTATTTTGACATTATTTATCATGTATGCAATGAGGCCAAGGGCCAAGCATGTTCTAGTTAACACTTATACCCTTTTGGTACCATGTTTTACTTTTGAAAGTAATTTTACGAACTTTGGAGGTTTGGCATGTGAAATTTTTGTAATTGATATGTATGAGGCCGTGAGCCGTTGTATTTCATTCATTTATGTAAATTATGTTTGTTGGCATGTTTACACAACTTTAAATCTTTGTTTTTGGACCATTTCATGATGGGGATTAAGGCTTTGGTGAAGCCTTAACATTTCTGGTGCATAGCAAGTTCTTCTGCTCTTTCTCGCGTCATTTTGGACGACCGAAATGTTATTTTGGACAACTGATTTCTTTTGTATTTATTTGAACAGTGTTTCCAGTAGCAAAAGTTCTTTTTGGTCCACAACTGGTCGACCAGTTCTCCATTTCAAACAACCAGAATGTGGTGTTCCTTTGGGTCTATTTCGGTCAACCGAAATGCCATTTCAGACGACCGAAATGCTATTGCTTTGTGGACTTTGTTTGGTTAGTTTCCTATGCATATTTGAACCCTCGTGCTTATCCCATTTTGCATTTTGACCTTATATTAGCCATTTTGTGGTGTTCAAGTGGCTGTCATCGGTACCGGAAGATACCGTTTGACTTTTTTAACTTAACCCCCGCATTTGATCCCATTTTGAGTATCGTTTCCTCATTGAGGACTTTCCTTTGTCCTAGAAGTGGCATTTGTCTCTAGTGACCTTTTATGTTGTTTTGCTTTCGGATTCCTTGATTTCTTTTGAGTTTGTGACTTCTTTGAAAGTCACTTTGTTGTCTTAGAGGTAGTGTCTATCTCTAGAGACCTCCGTCCTTTTCTCGCTTTCGCGTTTGCCTTTGAGATGAGTCTTGTGACTCTTATAAGGTTCCTTTATTGTTCTAGAGGTGTTGTTCCTCTCTAGGGACTCTTCTTCTTCTTGCTTCCACATTTCAGATTCGATATCGGGTCAGTCTTCGAGTTACTTGTTGACGTATT